GCAACTGTACATTATGTTTTTCAGTGCCATTTTAATTTTTCAGCGAATTTAATTTAAGATGGTATGCCATCTATTAACCAACTTTGTACAGATTTTTTGAATAATTAATAAAATTAAATTAATTTCGATTTTTTTCAAATAATTGTGCTTATTAGAGTATTCTATTCAAAGTTTTTTATATATTAACTGTTTTCTGACTTCTGGGATATGCTTTTTATAAGAAAAATGTCGTTTTTAAAGGAAAATTAATTTCTGAACTTTGACACTCAATAACTTTTAAGTTAATCGACCAATCTATAAATATTATTACATCAACTGAAATCTTGATGTGTCCTCTTTCGATTAAGCTAATTTGCAGAAAAAGGGTACCTCTGCTTTTAAAGATATAATTAATTTTGTAAAGTAACCTATTTTTACAAAATTTTATTTTCCTCATTTTGAAGAAAATTTTTTCTATATTATGTAAAAGGCGATTATATTTAGAAAAACAAACATATTTTTTATTGTTAGAAGCTTTTTAGTTTATAATTTTTGGTCAAATAACAAAGTTTTAATTAAATAATGTTTGAAAATGACATCTCTATCTTCATCGCAGTACTCCTCCTAAGTTAATCGAACAACCTATACAAAATTTTGCATTATATGAAAGGTAATTTTATCCTCTTTCGAATGAGCCATAAAAATGGTACCTCTAGTTTAAGTTATTAATAAATTAGTGACCCCATCTTTTGGGGCTGATTTTTATTTTTCATTTTTCATACAAATTACATCATTTACACATAAAAGTTGAATGTGGATAGTAAATTAATTTAATTTTCTACTTAATAATGCCTTTTGCTGCATTAAATTTAATAAAATAATAAATTTTTCCTTAATTAAACTATACTGCATTTTTCATGCGGCGAAAAATGTTCCAATTCCATTTTGGACTTATCGTCGACGCTATCTTCACGCACATATACAAGTGATTCATGAATCATGCATGAGTATTACGTCACAGTCGGGAATTTGCTTGTGTTGTTTACTGGCTAGTGCCAAGATAGCAACGATGCTGGGAGGTCCGAGTCGGAAATGGAACACACAATTTTTCTAAGTTTATTAATTTGTCAATATTAGCTAAATTAAAGGTTTTTCTTGATATAAGAAATATGATTTAGATAGTAAATTCAATAATCTTTCATTTGGTATATACCTCATAATTGTATGTTGCGCAATAGCTGATATATTCACAAAATGAAAGAACCTAATTTTTAAAAAATTATTTTGTTTTACTTAAAAAGTTATTAAAAAACAACTAAGTGTTCCATGGACCTGCACACACATGCATTTGAAAGGCAACAAATCAGGCTTTCAAATAAAGTAAAAATCAATCGTATACGTGGAATTTGCACAAAAACATGTTAAATATCAATGTCTTATCTCCCTCCAGATGACACATTTGAAAAAAGCAAAAACGCAAAATGATCAGAAACACATCACGAAATATAATTTTAAATCGTCAACCGATTATTTTATATTTATCATAAAAATATGATAAAAAATAACCTTTTTTTACCTTATTTTACTCTAACATAAATATCATCGCGTGCAAAAGTCCAATGGCAATAAGGATATTTTTCCTTTAAAGACATATATATCACCTTTCCAATATGATCAAAATTAAGAAAATCGTATGCACAGTTTTTCCAAATCATAGTTCTTATTTCAAGAAGAAGCTTTATTTAGCTAATATTGACATATTAATAAACTTTGAAACATTTTTTGTTCCGGTTTGGACCTACCAGCATCGTTGCTATCTTGGCGCTGGTGTTTACTGTGCATATGATTTGTTACTATAGCAACTTCTACTTTTATGCACATAAAATATTCAAGAACGCAAAAATCAAAAACTTAAAATTTACACCCTGTCTAGTCATAAGCTTTTTTATGATGTTTTGAGTATTAGTCTTTTTCTTTACAATAATTATTACTTATATTTTATCAAATACTAACAATGTCTTTTACGAGGTGATGTTATTCACTTAAATAAATTGCTTTAAAAAACTAATACAAATTTTGTTCAAATTATTGTAGTTTACGATTTATTTACTTAATTACACACGTAACAATTCATATAATATATATTTTATTTTTTTAACTATTTATAAAACATTACTGTTTAATTTTAGCGCACAGACTGTCTTTCTTTACACACTTTTCAAAGAGAACAAAAAAGGCTTTTTATATTACAATAGAATTCAAGTTGCAAATTAACATGCGTACGAATAATTGAGTGCGAATGTCAAGAGCTGAAAGCTCAAATGAGTAAAAGAAATGACTCAAAACTGGTATTGATCTTGCTCTACATTATTCGTACACATGTTAAAATGCTTACAAACTCAACTTGCTAGATCTACCAAAGCACCGTGCTCCAACATCCCGCCCCCCTTGAAAGGATTTCAAGCTGGCAATAGTGCAAGTTTGTGGATTGGTCGACGGATGACTCCTTTGGATGTCTGCAGATCGACTACGCGAATATGCTTATCTGGACCGTTTACACAGTGAATGATTCTTCCCATCAGCCAACGTTGTGGGGGCATATTATCCTCGTGGATTATTACTAATGTTCCATTGCTGACGTTTGATTGTTCCTTTGTCCATTTGGTACGTGTCTGCAGCTCGTTTAGATAATCTCGAGCCCATCGGCGCCAGAAATGATGTTTTACAGCCTTCACACGGACCCACTTATCTGCTAGTGGCAATTTATCATATTGAGATGTTGATTCCGGTAATGTCTTAAGTGGGCCGCCGATAAGAAAATGTGCTGGTGTCAACGCATCATAGTCGCTTGGATCGCAAGACAGCGGTGATATTGGTCTCGAATTAAGTATGGCCTCGATTTCAATCAGTACTGTTCCAAGTTCCTCAAACGTAAGACGAGTGTTTGCAAGGGTTCGGTTCAGATGGCCCTTAGCAATTTTCACAGCCGCCTCCCATAGCCCACCGAAGTGAGGCGTCCTAGGCGGTATAAAATTGAAATTGATGAATTGGTTGGTGCAAAAAGTCTGCAAATTAGATTGATTAGTTTTATTAAATAAAAAGTTTTTCAAGTCAGCCAGCTTGTTGCTAGCACCAACAAAATTTGTTGCATTATCGCAGTAGATATCTGATGGCAGTCCCCTTCTGCCGATCAATCTTTTTAGTGCTGCGATAAAGGCGTCCGTAGTTAAATCTGACACTGCCTCGATGTGTGCCGCCTTTGTTGATAAGCAGACGAAGATAGCTATATACGTTTTGAATGGGGCTTTTTCCCGAATACCAAGATACGTTAATACTGGCCCACAAAAATCTACTGCTGTACGAGCGAACGGCCTACTGGGTGTGACGCGTTCAATAGGAAGGTTACCCATTATTTGACCAAGCAATTTCGGTTTGTAACGCACGCAGTGAATGCAAGACCGAACCGTTCGACGCGCAATATCGCGAATGTTTAGTATCCAAAACTTAAGTCGAGTAAGGGCGATTAATGCCTTGGCTCCTGCATGATAGTTGCTCAGATGAAGATGCCGAACGTACAATTCCACAAAATAACAGCCTTTAGGCAATAGAATCGGATGTCGCTGACCCCTGGCAATGTCACTAAGTGCGAGACGCCCTCCTACCTTTAAGAGTTGATAACCTGACGCTTCCTCCAAGAATGGGTTTAGGTGCTTGAGTGACCCTTCCACTGGGTTACCTCGCTGTAGGCCTTGTATATCCTGAGAAAAAAAATGATTTTGGATAATCCAAACAATACAATGCAGTGCTTTTTGTAATTGCATAGGTTGAATGAACTCTACGTCAGCTTTCTCTTTATACTTGGTTAACTGATGGAATCGATGTAGTTGCGCTACTATTCGTAGTATTTTAGTATAGGAGCCATACCTTGATATAACTGTCAGCAAATAATTTTCTTTAGTTACCTGAGTAAACGCAAGTTTTCTTCTTTCCTTATTGACTACTTCCATATCTAAATTGCTATGTTCTGGTTGAGGCCAATGTTTTCTTTCACGTAATAAAAATTCTGGTCCAGTGAACCACGTAGACTCCGTTAGTTGGCGATTGGTACAACCACGAGAAACAATATCAGCTGGATTAATTTTTGTAGATATGTGCTGCCACTGACCAGCGCGAGTTATATCTTGGATTTCAGCCACACGGTTGCCTACAAAGGCAGACAGAGTCGAGGAATGTTGTTTCAACCAATGCAGAACTATTTGGGAATCCGTCCAAAAAAATGTTTCTCCTTCGAGGTGAGCGAGTGTCGGCTGAATTTTTTGTAATAACCTGGCAAGTAGTAACGCACCACATAACTCTAACTTAGGCAACGATTTCCTCTTTATCGGAGCTACGCGGGATCTTGAACGAACGTTTCCCATGTAGAGTGAAGAGCTTGAGGTACTGACTCATCCCAATTCAAACGAAGCAGCCAGAGTTCTTGCATAATAATTTTTGAAACAAGTACAAGTGGAGCGAGTAACCCAAGAGGATCGAACAGTGATGAGGCCAGTGATAGAATAGAACGTTTTGTTACCGTACGACTAATCGGGACATTGAAAGAGAATAGAAACACATCATGAAGTTGATGCCATTTGATGCCCAATGCGCTAGTGATCGTATCCGAACCCAGATCCCAACTCTTCGTTGTAGTGTCGCTTACAAAATCCACATGATTAGAATGCCATTTATCCAATTCAAAACAACCTTCCTTCAGAATTGCAGTCAGTTGATGTTTAATTTCGACAAGTTCTTCACTGGAGTCGGCTCCGCCAATAAAATCATCCACAAAAAATGACGATTTAAGAAGTGGAGAGCCTAATGGGTATTTGTCTTTATATTTATCGGCCAAATATTGTAAACTTCTAGTTGATAAAAACGGCGCCGATGCTGTGCCATAAGTGACAGTATTGAGTTCGTAAGTACTAACAGGCTCCGCATCTGTGTCTCTCCAGAGGATATATTGAAACCTTCGATCTCCTTTATCCACCAAAATTTGTCGGAACATCTTTACGATGTCGGCTGTCAGAGCATAACGGTATAAACGAAACTGAAGAAGGAGCAGATATAGTTCCGGATGAATGGTAGGGCCTACCAGCAAAATGTCATTTAGCGCACGACTAGATGAGGTTGGACATGATGCGTCAAAAACTACTCTCAACTTTGTTGACGTGCTGGAAGGCTTCAGAACACAATGGTGAGGGATATAGTAATGCGGTTCGTTCAATTTGGGATCTTCGACGCGCGTCATATGTCCTAACTCCAGATATTGTTTCATGAACTCCCAGTAATCGCGTTTTAATGCAGGATTGGATGATAAGCGTCGTTCTATACCTAGAAGTCGACGCAAGGCAATGCTGTGTGTCAGACCGAGGGTGGTTGGTGGTTCCTTAAATGGTAATCGAACTACAATTCTTCCGTCCATAGCTTGTCGAACTGTTTCTTGATAGGAGGTCTCGCACTTCGCTTGCTCTGGTGACCACGATTTTTCAGCTGATTGTACTTCCTCTATCTTCCACATCATTTCTAGTTGTTTGGATACGGTATCATCTAGTGACATTAGGCAGTTTGCAACTGTGGGATTATCGAGAACACCTTGACATCTACCGGATACCACCCATCCAAACAATGTTTTTTGCAGGACTGGAAGATTCACACCCAGTTTAATTTGACCGATGGATAAAATGTCAAAGAAGCTTTCTGTGCCTAGTAAGAGATCGATACGTTTGGATTTAAAAAATAGTTCATCTGCGAGTGAAGTATTCGGCGGGAGGTTCCATGATGATACATCAATTTCTGAGCTTGGCTGGTAAGCAATATGAGGAGTAACGCAGAAGTTGAGATCCAGCTCAAGATTTGAATGACGTGACTTTACGATAGTGGATGTTTGATGCTTTATATTAGCAAATGTGCTGCCTATACTTGCCACATGTACCGGTCGCTTGTATTTGACCAAATTAAGATTTTTTGAGAATTCCTCTGTTATAAAATTAACCTGCGAGCACGAATCGAGTAACGCTCTCCCCACTTGATAACCTCCAACTGAATCTTTCACCAAAACCAGCGCCGTAGCTAAAATTATTTGTTCATTTGAAGACATATCAAGATGAGAGTGACTGGCAACATTGTTATTGGGCAACAGAGTTTGCCTTGTGGTATTTAGTGAATCCGAAACCTGGTCATTGCTATTGGGTTGGTGCAAGAGTGTGTGATGTGACTTTGCGCATATTCGGCATTTGAATGATGATGTGCAATTGGCCACTCGATGCCGGGGCGATAGACAGTTAATGCAGAGTTTCAAACATTTCGCCTTCTCAAATCTTTGGTTAACTTCCATAGATTTAAAACGAGGGCATTTCTGCACTAAATGTTCATGACTTGAACAAAGTAAGCAGGACTGGGTGGAAGTAGCTGTAGCGAACGAATACTGTTTAGGACGATTGATGGGTTTGGCCTTAATATTGTTGGCTTTACGATGTACCGATAGATGGTTGTATGGCTTGTGATCGAGAGATTCTAGAAACTGACAATGTCTGTCAAGCAGTGCTGAACAGTCGTTCCAACTAGGCAGAGTGGTGAGAGATAGCGCCTCCTTCCATTTCCTACGTGTAGTTTCATCTACCCTCTGCATTACCAATGAAATGAGTATTGCCTCACATATTTGTTTTTCAGAGCCTAACGTGCAGAGTGAACCGTACAGTGCAGACACATTATCGATTAGGCTGCGAAGTTGGTGGCTAGACTGATCCGAAACCACTGGCAAATCAAATAAAGCTGTAATGTTTTCTAAGAAAATCAGCGTACTGTTGTCATACCGTGTTTTAAGTCGCTCTAAAGCCTTCGGATAATTTTCATTACAAATGGGGAATGCCTGCACTGTTTCTAATGCTTGGCCCGTTAGACAATTTCGTAAATGGTTAAATTTTTCGATGTTGGTTAGACACGCTTCTCGATCAATAATTTGGACGAAAGAATTGATGAAGTTCTTGTATTCGGAGTACTTACCACTGAACGTGGGTAATTTCAAATGTGGCAACTTCTTACTCACAGGAGGTATCAATGCTGTGTTGTCCATCATTGTAGAATTATTAGCTTCATCATTCAGCTGCGAAGATATGGAAATTTTTGTTGAAATATAAAGCTCCTCTAAGTCAGCTCTGCACGTATCGGTAGCATCTAGTTTCTCAATTGATGTCTGAAATGATAAGACCTGTTTAAAGTAAGAATCTAGGATACCTTGCCTACATTTTAATTCCGGCTGTGACAATAATTTCCAGTCCCCTTTATGTGGGTTTCGATCAACCCTTTAATCCTACTGATACTTGCTTTGGATGAGGCCCTTTGCTGTTTGAATTCTGCCAATTCTGACATGGCCGTCTGGCTTGTGTTGGGTGTTGTCATCTCGATTTAATAAATTATTGATGAGTCAAAATAATTACACTCTCCGAAAGTCTAATAGATATTATATCACGACACGATACCGAAATAGTGCACAAATTCGAAAGTCACTAAGCACTTGCGCATAAATAGTTGTGCTACAACGATAATTAATCGGTTGACCGAATGATGCGAACGAAAGCGAAAGTTCTAAGCACATGCACTTAAATAATTGTGCGACAACGATTAATTAATCGGTTGACCGAATGATGCGAACGAAAGCGAAAGTTTTAAGCACATGCACTTAAATAATTGTGCGACAACGATTAATTAATCGGTTGACCGAATGATGCGAACGAAAGCGAAAGTTCTAAGCACATGCACTTAAATAATTGTGCGACAACGATTAATTAATCGGTTGACCGAATGATGCGAACGAAAGCGAAAGTTCTAAGCACATGCACTTAAATAATTGTGCATAGAGTAGCGGTTATTGTCCGCATATTACCGAACCTCGACACTCGAATAACGTTTATTTTACCACGCGGTAACGTTTTATTTACCACGCGGTAACCACGACCATTAATTAACGTTAAGTTTAGAAATTCCGTTTGAAATTAGCAATTTTATTAATTTGCAAATATTATTTTTTAAATAATTTTTTATTATATATTTATAAACAAAATTAGAATTTATTTTTAACATTTAAATTAACACTTTTTGTCTAAAGTTTATCTTTGTTAATTATACACACCTTGAAGTGTTTTATTTTTTATGTCTGTTATTTGTTGTTTTAAGTAAGAACTTTTCTTATTAGAAAATTTGTTACACGGCACTTAAAGCGTTGATCTTTGGTTAGTACTTATGACCGTTTGGTTAAAACGTTCGAATATTATTTTCATATTAGTGTCCTGTCACGGTCGCCAATGTCTAGTCATAAGCTTTTTTATGATGTTTTGAGTATTAGTCTTTTTCTTTACAATAATTATTACTTATATTTTATCAAATACTAACAATGTCTTTTACGAGGTGATGCTAATTTATTCACTTAAATAAATTGCTTTAAAAAATTAATACAAATTTTGTTCAAATTATTGTAGTTTACGATTTATTTACTTAATTACACACGTAACAATTCATATAATATATATTTTATTTTTTTAACTATTTATAAAACATTACTGTTTAATTTTAGCGCACAGACTGTCTTTCTTTACACACTTTTCAAAGAGAACAAAAAAAGCTTTTTATATTACAATAGAATTCAAGTTGCAAATTAACATGCGTACGAATAATTGAGTGCGAATGTCAAGAGCTGAAAGCTCAAATGAGTAAAAGAAATGACTCAAAACTGGTATTGATCTTGCTCTACATTATTCGTACACATGTTAAAATGCTTACAAACTCAACTTGCTAGATCTACCAAAGCACCGTGCTCCAACACACCCTCAAAATTTTTGCTTAGCAAACAGACCTAACAACATTTTTACGAATGCTAGAAGTCATTCGAATCATTCATTGTCGATAATTCATTTTCACCTGAGTATATGTTCTGATTCATGAATCATTTGCTATTATGATACTCTACTTAGAAATATGTACGCGTTCTTTTCTTTGGTGCGAATCATTCTTCATTAGCACCGGTATTCGTTAACGAAAATGCTTATTAAACATTTCTGTGGAGAATGTAAATGAAAATAAACATTTATACGCATTTTGTGTTAAAATTATGAGAGTAATGTTATGGATGTATCATTAATACATAAGGCAAGAATGGAATTAAAGCTGAAATGTTCGCTATTTACGTATTTAAACTATGCACCCAATATAACATGCATTAAAAAGTAGACATTGTTCACTTTATGGGTCGCTGTCCATTCCTGTGTGAAATTAGATAGCTTCACTTTGGTAAAGGTATACATATTAACATCGTGTAATTGTTATATTTTATTAAATGTAGCAGACTGGCGTAAGAAGTTTATAAGAAATCTTGTTTTCTTGTATTTATTATTTTTTCCTTTAAGTGCTTAATTAAACTTTAAATTTCTAAAGTACTTTTCCCTCGTACCTAACACAGATCTTCTTGATTTCCAATTATACGTTTTTACTATTTTGAACCAACAATTCATATGTCCTGACTTAAAAAAAATAGAAATACGAGTAACAAGTAAATAAGATTAATAAGTTATTCGTGTATATAAGCTCTTATATAATATTTTTACTATATGAAACATATTTTAAATAATAAAGAACTAAATAATTGCTAAATACTTTAAACCTTTGTTTTTTAGTATTTTTTAACAATGAATAGTAACTTTATAAATTGTTTTTATTATATGTTTTTTAAAATTCAAATGTATAAAACTTTATTAGCCATTTTAAGAAATTATTGTATATGATGCACTAAATATATAGAAAATTATTATGTTTATATTTCCTAGTTTGCTTCACTGTGCGTGTTATGAACATGTTAAAAGTTGTGATGCGATTATTTTTGGTTCTAATGTGGATTCATTATTTTGTATTTAACTCCTACTATTCGATTTTGACAGTACTTAATAGATATAGTTAATGTATTTAATGATGACATTGTTTCTTTTAACTTATATACGCTTATTTTCTATAACATGAGTTTTTCCTATATTTGCCAGCAATATAAAAATGCAAATATTTACCCACAGTAAGATAATAATAAAATTAATGAGAACATACTTTTTTAACTATTTCTAATCGGATTTTTATTTTAGTATATTTTATTATATTAACCTTTATTTTACGTTTTTCAAAAATATATAACAAGTTTCACATTAAATATTTGCTATACTTTTAACACAGTTTCTTATATTACGTTTCCACTGCTTACTTAGAAAGCTTAACTTAACAAAATTCGATTACAATTACACCAAAAATGACGAATGCAACATTGGAAATGATCGAAATTTGACATATTTGAGACAAGAAACAAAATTTAAACATAAACCAATAAGAGGTAAGAATTTTTTAAAATATTTCTTTTTTATAAATAAAATATATTGAAATATAAATATTGATATATATTAAAATATAATATTGAAAATAAATATATATAAATAAGCTTATGTATAAAATATATATTTGATATTGTTCAATGTCATATATTATTTAACAAAATATTCATTTCAGTTGGATATCAGAACAGAAAATGGATGAGTTCACAAGCCTGTACGTTATAAATGTAATTCAATAAAATGAAATATTATTAATATTAGGAAAAAACAAAAGAATTGGGAATATGTGGACTGAGGGCAGTGAGCCGTTTCTTTTATTAGCCACATAGAAGAAACACAAACAAAAAAAGAAATATGGTTGATGAAAAAAATGCTAGATAGAGTTGATAGGCTAATTAATTCTAAAGATGGAACGAGGATATCCGCACAAAAGAGCCGTAACGGAGGCAGCGATTAGGGACTACTTAATATATTTTTTTATTTTTAATTCTTTAATTCATTGTTTACTACCAATATAGTTATAGTGTGTGTTATTTCAAATTTTTTCTATATCTTTATTATTAATACAATTATAGTGCATTTTATTTTTAATTTATAACTTATCGGTATTATTATTAATTGAAATAAAACTTAAAATGAAAATTAAAAAATTTGTATTTTTTATATGTAAATCATTATACGTTCTTTTCTATATTCAAGAACTGCTGCATTCATGTTATGATGAATATAACAAATATGCATTAAATTATTTAAATTTTCTGCGTTTCTCATGCTGAATTATTTTCTTCTAACAATATAAAATTTAATGTCAACTGTTTAAAACTAAAATATAAACAAATAAAAGCGGTATAACTAGAAATTTTTGATACATAAAAGTTCTTTCCCATTCCTTAAATAACTTGTAAACGATGTAAATGATGTAAACTACAAAACGCTTAATATTACTAAATAACTTACTAAATAAGCAATGGAAACGTAGTATTAGTACATTTTCTTATAATTTAAACTTAAAGTATTTATTATTTTGTCAAAATTTTAAAATAGAGCAACTGTGTAACATAAATTTTACATTTTATTTTTACAGTTTCGATGTTATTAAATAGAAATAATTTAGCTCTTTTTGTAAACTAAATGACTAATTTCTATGTACACGGGAATACTTACGAATTATAAATATGGATAATGATACGATTTTTTACGATACAGACCATCTATTAATCCATAATAGCTGTACCCTAGATGTTCGGCCCGAGTTTTGTATATGAAAAGAGAAAAATTTTTGTAATAAAGTTTGTAATACAACCAATTTAGTTTTCTTTTATATTAATATAGAATCTTAGAGCTTGATTATAGAGTATCTTGTCGAATAACAAAATAAGTGCGATGTTTAAAAAGTGTAATTTGAAGTCTATAAGGAAATAATATATATTGCAGAAAATAAATAATATCATAGAACAAGATTAAACAGATCTGATTTTAATATTCAAAAATTGAAAAATTTATGTATAATATTATTTAACTAAGTTACTTTAAAGTTAAATTCAGCTATATTTTTGATGTAATCACTTAAGTTTCCAGTGTGCATTCATAGCTATATACGTATATTATAACAGATATACAGTGGCATTATTTTATCTATTACTAAAAAAACTATGTCATCAATTGAATATATTTAAATGAAGTTTTTAAGGAAAAATATTTATTATTTAATTTGTTTTATATTGTTTTAATAAATAATAACATAAACTATAAAAATGCCCCTATTTTAATGCCTCAGCGTATTTCATCCACAAAAAGAAATTTAATTTGGTGCCAATGTCAATACTTGGTGTGACACCCCTTCGCTTTTATCTCTTCGTCAAGTCTCTTCGGCATTGAACGTACAAGTTTTTGGGTTGGAGAAATTTTCATCTACTCTTGTAAATTAACCTTTTTTAAGTCTTCTTTGTTGGAAATAGTATATTGCTAAATGTTTTGTTCCAATGTTGCCTATAAATTTTCAATGACTTTCATATCTGGGCTCTGCGCCGGTGGTGTCATCAGATGTGGGCAGTTCCAATTCAACCAAGACTGTATGATGAGGGCTTTATGTTTCCCAGTAGGTTGGTGAGAGCTCGAAACAAATCTGATTCAAACTATGTGCCTTGTTCGGTTGTAATTAGCTTAGGTGCACCGAAGCGTGAAACCTAGGTGGCAAAGAAACTTAATGCAACGATGAACTGGATTTGAGTATTTGCTCCAACTCCTCGTCATTGATTTGAGCTACACTGATGCGTTCTAAACTGCATGATTAAGGCATTGTTATTGCGCCTATCCGTGATAGAGCATCAGCTACTATGTTGTTAGGAGTGGATAAGTTAACATACTTGCTAATTATGTTGGGCAACTTGATAAAAGCAGTTAAGATGGATACTGAATGTATTTCCACGTTCTTTAAGGCACCTGAGACAGATAAAGACGTTAGAGGATCAATCAATTGTTAAGTCCTTATGTCTGGCACTGAACCGAAATTTGCCAAAACATCTGCTCCTATATTTGGAACCCATATATTAGCTATTATGAAGTTCCAGCTGAAGTTGCGACGTAGTCCTAAATCAATGCACATTCTTCAAATGCCATAAGTATTTATAGTTGTATCATTGAGTATGTAAAGTTTGATGTCTTCTGGAATTACATTTGATGGCATGTTGTTCATAAGGCGATTGGCCAACTCTGCTGTTTGGTCTACATTACTTGTATAACTTGCAGACAAAATACACCTTAAAATGCTGGATAGCCGTTGTAGTATTGACAGCCAATATATTCTTGGAGACATTATTACTGACTATATTTAGACTTCCTCTAATTAGTTGCGATGGCCATTTCTTTGGTAGCGTTAAGTTCGTCAATAATTTCACAAGGTGCTTTTGTTTCGGCTTTTTACTAACTCCTTCTTTAAAGTTACATATTTTTCTGCTGTGGAAGGATACTCGCAATATCTGCGACTTGATGTGAAGTGTCTGTATCTAGTGTCGTTATTACCGTGTAAAACTTCGACGTATCTGCAGTCATCCGATGTACGTGTAAAGTTTACTCTTTGTGTGCAAACCATAATTCTGGATCCGACTGGAAAAACGGAGGCAACTTAATTATGTTGACCGCTCCTACGCCCTGCTTGTATTTAAGTTGTCCGTTGGTCCGTTTGTTCATTGTCTGCATTTATATTGCTACTTCTTGCCTCAAATTCACTGATGACGTTGCTTGTTCTTTCGGGGTCACCAATGTGGTACTTCTGTATCACCATTTTATCGATATTTATAAAAATATAAGTGTGTGTGTCTGTCTGTTTGTACTCGATTGATTTAAAAACTATACATCCAATCACCGTGAAAATTTGGGAAATTATTAGGTACATCTCCGGGTTTTTCCAAATTTTTATTAAAATCAGAGTTGGGGTTATAGGTGCATTTAATTAGTAATACTTTGGTGAAAGTGTATTTATGGTTACCATGGTGATATTGAAAAATTTACAGCTGAAGAAAATAATTGGGAACACGTTTTATTTAACACCACAATTATGCCACCAAAGCGATTGGTCGAACTACAAATCAAGCAAAAAGGAGAAGAAAAGAATGAGCTTTAGAAACAAGTGAGCAGAGAAAAACTAGGCAAGTAAGAGATCGAGTTCACACTGCTCTTGCTCGATCATTAGAAACGAGTGAGCAGAGACAAGCTAGGCAAGAAAGAGATCGAGTTCACACTGCTCTTGCTCGATCATTAGAAACGAGTGAACAGAGGCAAGTAAGGCAGCAAAGGAATCGAATTGGAATGATACATGCTGATTTGAATTTATGTGGTTTCAATTACAATCCCCTTTACAATTACAGTCTTCATCCAAATGTAATGATTGGAAAATTGATAGAAAGTGTACATATTGTGGTGTTCAAAAATTCAAAAATGAAACACCAGCAATGTGCTGTGCAGGTGGAAAAGTAAACTTTAGTATCAGATGAAACAAGTCAATCAAAAAAAATTTTGAAAAATAAACGCAAGTACAATTCATGCTTCTAAATGAAATCATTCGGAGCAACTAATATCGTTAGGGTAAATTATATGCCAACATTTAAAGTACAAGGGCAAACTTATCACCATGCTGGATCAATACTGCCACTGCCAAATGCGGTTCACAAATACCTTCAGATCAGAGGCGAGGCGTCGAATGGTTCAGAGTGTTCACTGAACACCTTAACAAAGCTTCCTTTTTAGATTTTTTTTTATTAGGTAAATAATCTCGCTATATTGCTACTTAACATTTTTTATAATAGCTTTTCCAAACAGATTAACATAAACACAAAACGTAGAATACAAACAAAATCACACATATGTTAGATACACCCAACATTGCTTATAATTAATAAAAGAGAAAACACATTCCTCTTGAAATATACTAAGGTGCAGAATAAAAACTGCACCGAGTTGCTTACAAAGCATGCAAATGAAATAACATTCACATTGGGACTATGTTCAATATTGAATACACAACACAAAACATACAAACAAATATATGTACGTAAAATAATCTTAACTCTTAAATTAATGCGTGCAAGCAGTTCAATAAAAAAAGTGCACTTAATACAAAAGTGCAAAGTAAATACAAAAGAGAAAAGAAATGACTGAGCGAAAATCGCTTTACATTTGACGAGAGGATCATTCCACTAAACTGAACCAAAAATTTATACAAAGCGTGCAAATACAATCAAAGTCACGGTTGCTGTTTTATATGGGCAAATGGTTCAGTATGAAAACTGAACCGGGCATTGTAAATACAAAGTAAAAGAGTAAATGAATGCATGAGGGTTTCTTACTCTTATATAGAGGTTGGAAATAAATCAAAACAAAGTCATTATTGCAATTTTATACTAGCAAATGGTAAAAGTAAAGAAAGAGATTAAAGAAATTGGAAGTGAAAAATAATATTTACAAATGGATAAATGTGTGATTAAAGATTTGATTCAATGTCTTTTTTTAAACGATCTTCTGAAAAAAAGATTTTAATTCATAAAATGAATAAACCAACTCCAGATATGAAGAATTTGATACCTGTTGTAAAAATGTCGAAATCTATGGTATGTCGTCGTTTTCCTACAGCTACAGTTTTATGGTAAATAAAAACCAGTGGATCACAAGCTGCGAACATTTAAATAAATTGTTTTATTGGTCTTATACGCTATTTGCTTGTGGAAAGGAGAAAACTTTGAAGTAGGGGGAATACGTTATAGTTGGAATTCTGTTTTGATTAAATTGTGAACACCTTGCCAAAAAGCTGACGCCTCGCTACTGCTTCAGATATATTTTATGGGAAATATTGACGAACAAATCAACAGACGGTGTAAACTGAAAACGAGTACTAAACGAGAGATTGTCGTAGAATTACAAAATTTGTTTGAACAACATTATGAAATAATCAATTTATTTAAAACCGCCATTGAACAAATGCTATCTGACGATTACAAAGCAATAATAAAGGCAGATAAAATACCTATTGGTCAGGATCGAAGACTATTCAATGCACCAACGATTGATGAAGTGGCAATTGCCATAGTTGGTGAAGAGTTTAATTCTCGCGATATAATTCTTCATCATAGAAATAGTGATATTCAGCACGTATCAGAAACGCATCGTTCATATGATGCATTGTAATATCCCATTCTATTTTGACAAGCAGAGGGTGGATATCATTTTAATAGTAACATGAGAAATCCTACAACTAATGTGGACATTAACAAAAAGGTCAGTGCTATGAATTATTATGCATATCGAACTATGATTCGTGAGAATGCTGATAATAATATATTGAAATGTAGACAATTATTTCATCAATACACTGTTGACATGCATGCAAAAAAAGAAAGTGAAAGACTCCTCTACATTCGACTAACTCAAGTCAAATTGCGTTCTGAAGAGTACATCCATTTACGTAATGCAGTTCTAAATGATGACAATCTCAGTCAATTAGGGAAAATGGTAATTTTACCATCCACATTTACAGACAGCCCAAGACACAAGCATGAATATGCACAAGATGCAATAACGTATGTTCATGCATATGGTCGTCCAGATTTTTTCATCACATTTACATGCAACCTTGCATGGGATGAAATAAAAGAGGTTTTATTAATTGAACAATCACCAATAGATTGTCATGATATTTCTGTATTTAAACGAAAAATAAAATTGTAATATATTTTATTGTCAA